AAATGATTTTAAGCCATTTAACAGAAAAATAAATATCTTAACATCCTAAATCTCTGCAGACAATATATCCCATTAAAATTTTTTTAAGTTAGAAGATTGCTCCAAGGGCTGGGGATTTAGCTCAGTGGCACCGTGCCTTCCTTGCGAGCTCAAGGTTCTGAGTTCGATCCCCAGCACCAAAAAAAAAAAATTGAGAAGTTAGAAGATTGCTCCTAGCTATTAAAATATTTCTACCTAAAAAGTGGGGCTGCAAAAAGAATAACAAAATGTTCAGAACAATAATTTAAACGTGTTTTCTAAAGTAGTAAATATTGTTATATCAGAAACTAGTTAAAAATTTGGCTTTCATAAGGAAAAAATATTAAGGTTTCAAACTGAAAATACTATAATAGAAAAAGACAAAACATGATTCTTTTAACAGAGAGTTTATTATTCCCCGTCTGAAAAAATAAAAACACAATCATATGCCCTCTAAAGTTTTTCCCCCTCTTAACCACTCTGTCCACCTCACTTTTCATTTTTTATTTTTCTAGGAAGGGAAGGCTGAACTTTGGAAGGGATAATAGAAAAAAAAAAACATAATAGAAAGGAAGAAAGAGTAACACTAGTTTATTTTTTCTCCTCACACTAAATCCTAAATACATCATCATCATAAAATGTTAACAATCCAAATATTTGAAGGTAAGAAAAACCTAAATTTTCTGGAGTGGCAACCCAATTTAAAGCAAAAGAAAAGGAAGTGTTTGTGAATGTAAATTAAGTCTGAATGCTGAACTCTTCGAACAACCTTAACTATAACACTGTACAAAGGTGCAGTTAAATATGTTGACATGAACTTTGGTCAAAGGTAGAGCATAAGTTTTAACAGCTTTCTAGCCTAAGAAGTGAGATCAGCTAAAGAACTTTAAACTTTAGAGTTTCATTCACTACATAGAGAAAACATCAAAGTTTTCATGCAGGACCACATGGTCCTGGGAGACAATTCTGTGGAGAAACAGCAGCTGGTAATAACCAACAGTTTAAACATATAACTCCACAGCCGGGTGTTGATGGAACACACCTTGTAATTCCAGCAGCTAGGAGGCTGAAGAAGGAGGATTTTGAGTTCAAGCCCAACCTGAACTACATAGTAAGACCTTGTCTCAAAAAAACCAAATCAAAACAAAAACATTTAATTTCATGGTACTCTACAGGACAGTTCTATGGGGAAAAAAAACAGAATGAGAATTTGGGAAGAAGCTAATTTGCCTATTTGAAATCAAAATAATCCTGCTCATCATTTCAAGAGCCTTTGTGACCAAGTGACAAGTGTAAATGAAAGCTATGGATAGAACTGCTACTTCAACTTGGGGTATGGCCTCCCTAGGATAGCAATTGTAATGTTTCTTCCCTGTTATAAACAGTTGACTGATTCTTGGCAAACACTCTCATATAACTAGAACATAATATCAATGCCAGGACAATTCCATGCTCTTCCTTGTGCATATTTTTCTAAAAAAAAGAAAATCTTTCCTCCTTAATCATCCTCTTTCCTTAAAAAAAGACAAAACCACCGTGCCTGCCTTGCAAGCACAAGGTCCTGAGTTCGATTTCTGGTACCAAAAAAAGGACAAAACCTGGATCCTAGGATATGTACACATTAAGCAGATTTTCACCTCAAAATTTAGCCTTAATCATCTGAAGGCAAATGTTCCTTATAACTCCCTCTTCTGTGGCTGCCACTTTTCCTAAACCACAGCCCTTCCTGACTTGCAGTAGGGCCAGGCCAGATTAGAGTTATGTGGTAGTTTCTATCAGGCAAGCTTTGACAAGGCCTCAAAAATAGGCCCTGGGCACCAGCCAAGGAAACTGCCACTCACAAGGTTCCAACTTCATCACACTTTTAGACTCACAGTACTAATTTTTTTTTCTCCAGTTTCTCTTATTTCAAAAAGGACAAAGGGTCCTGTACCTCCTCCTGACCATAAATGATCCATATAACATTGAAATGAATAACTGACACCTTACTCTGCTCAAAAACACTTTGTAGAATGAAGACCAAGTCTGTACCTCCTACCTGCCTTGAGAAATTAATCTATCAATAGCACTCTGGATTGCAAAAGAACGTCTGGATCTCAGGATCCACACAGGCTTGTTTTATTATGAATAGACTAGGATATGGAAAATAAAAGAAGAGAAGAAGGTGGGCTATTTTTTTCTCTTATAACTAATAATATTAGCAGACTTCAGCAGGGCAAAATGCTAAACTTTTACAATGTTTTTAACTGACATGGAACATAAAATTCTGAAACAACCTACTACAAGATACTGCCATGTAACTATTACCAAATATGAATGGTCTTATATGACATGCTAGACTTCAACTACATAATTCTACTTTTACTAGTTCAAATTAAATTAATGACCTGATACTCTAAAATGACCTGAATTGACTTATGAAATACATTCACAATATTTTTTTAAATGGAGAAATGGGAAAAAAATAAAATAAATGGAGAAATGGGTAAAGAATACAAAGCAAATGGGCCAGGCTTGGTGACACAAGTTTGTAATCCTAGCACTCTGGGAGACTAAACTAGAAAGATCACAAATTTAAGTCTGCGCTGGGCAATTTACCTTGGCCCATTTAGCAAGACTCTGTCTCAAAAATTTAAAAAGGGCTGTCACTTAGTGCAAAGGCCCTGGGATCAATCCCCAGCACCATCACCACCAAAAAAAAAAAAAGTGATTAAGAAATTTCTTCTATAAGCGTGAAAAAAAGTTAATTTTTATCATAAAAAAGGCCAATATATAATTGAAATAGTTTTAAATTTTCACAATTTAAGTCCCAAAACCTCAGTCTCACACTCGAAAATATACTCCATATACATGAACTAATGCAAAGATTTGTTTTACCAGTTATTCATTACAGAAGTGTTTGCGGAAGGCTAAACGCAATCTAAATGTCTATTAACAGGGAATGGTAAATTATGGAAAAATGAACACGTTATGGTTCCTTTACACCTGGAAGGATATCCAGTCTTATAAAAAATGAGAAGGACATATATACTAATACAGAAACAGCTCTAAGATGTATCAAAAATAAGTATGAAAGCTGTAGGATATCTCTCCTAAACATGTGATTACATATGTAAAAGAAAATTTAGAGAGATATAAGAAACCATTAACAGTGGTGGCTTAGATTAGAGAATGGAGTAAGGAGCTAGGAGTTTGTGGAAGAAAATAAACATGCTTTTTGTCATATTAACATTTTCTTTTTAAATATTTCATTAATTTTTTAAAGTCCCACAAATGTCTATTGAACCCATGAAGTCAGCACTGTGTACATACATGTGTATATATAAATCTATATATATGCTTTTTCTTTCCTCTATCTCTACTTTCACCAACTGTTTTCCCTATCACTAGATTAAAACAAAAGCATACATACATAGCAAGTCTCAGAGACTCCCTAAGAAACAGAACTCTCTCTTGGCCCTCCCACCACCACCATCACTACCAAAATAAGTAATAGAACACATAAAAAAGTATTACATATGACAAAGCCAGATTTTAGCATACTGTCTGATTCTTTTTAAGTCTACCCTAATTTACTGTAGGCTAAAAAGTTTTAATAGTGAAACTACAAAGTTTAACACCAAAAAAATCATTTCTAAAATGTCCATTCTATTACCATAGAAGGGAAAGATGGAGAAAAGGACTAAGATATCTTACAAGGCAAATTTTGCTCAATTGCTTCTTTCTAAAGTTTTTAAAAGATGAGCTTTTATAATGGTATGGAGTCTATTCTTTATCTGCAAACTGGTAAGATAGTTCATTTTCCCAGTTAAGGAATCATCTCTGCTCAGATTCTCCCAAGAGAAAGCAACTACCTAAATGGAAAAGGCTATGAAAGTATCCCCTATTTTGTAGGTTCAATAGATAGCACATCCAGGGAAAGACAGAAAAAAATATTTTTAAATGATCCTCAACATTCCCAGTGGATTGCAAGGAGAACATTTCCTTTTCTATACCTTATCAACTCTGTTCCTTTTCTCCAAGCAACAGGGTAAATAATTCACAAAGAGCTATGCAAGTAATCACTCCCTCCATCTTGCTAAATTCAGTTCTAGTAAAGATTTCTTGTTTATTTTGAAAAACAGAGATATTTGTCAAATATATTTTTCATTCATTACAGAGATGCTTAATCTTGACCTAAGGTTTTCCCTACATATTTACCTATCCAGACTCTGTTATGGTACTTTGGGGTGGGGGGGAGTACTGGGGATTGAACTGAGGACCTTGGGCTTGCCAGGCAGGCATGGCACCACTGAGCTACATCCCGGGCCCTGTTATGGTGGTTTCTACAAGGGATTTTCCAAACGGGAATCTTTGTTCATAGGGAAGTGAAACTCTTAAGTCACTATTAGCAGGGCAAAAATCAAAAACAACATTAGGGAACACTCTGAATGTGAGAATGGATATCCAGGGCTGGGGATTTAGCTCAGTGGTGCTGCGCCTGCCTCACAAGAGCAAGCTCCTGAGTTTGATTCCCCCATACTGGAAAAAAAAAAAGAATAGATATTCAAAGTAAGACATCGAAGAATTAAAGGAATTTCATAAGCAAAACAGGATAAACTTGCCATCATTTTATAATTAACTTAAGTTCTTTATAAATGAAAATCAAGGTAAAATACACTGAATTCCAAAAAGAAGGAAAAGAAAAATAAGGGTAAAAGCAACAAGGTCTCTGTGATTCAAGGTTATTTTGTTTAACAACAGTCTGAAAACCAAAAAATGATCAAATTACATTACGGGAATAAAAAGTTATTTGTAGTTTAAAACTAATCCATTCCAAAAATAAACCACAACTTCAACACACACTTTCTTCAATGACAGAACTTAATTAAGTCAGCAATTCTACATTTTTAAGGACAGAATGGCAAAATGTGTGAGGCTTTCCACTCAAAAGACTACCGGTATTTTGTATAATACAATTCTTACAGTGAACTTTTTCATACCTTAGTGATGGTAGCTCTCCTTTCCCCTGACATTTATCTTGCTTCTAGACTCCTTCATTTATCTTCCCACATCTGGTTAAAAAGACAAAATGTAAAATCACAACCATCCATTTAGTAACTAACAAACTATCCTAAATCCAAGCATTCTTGCAAAATTTCAATTTATTTCCTTATCATACTTCATGATAACAAGCATCCAGCAACAAACCTAACAAAACATTAAACACTTTCTATAAAATGAGTAAAAGCAGGGCCGGGGATTTAGCTTAGTGGTTCCGCTACTTAAATGCAAGGTCCCGAGTTTGATCCCCGGTACCAAAAAAAAAAAAAAAAATGATTAAAAGCTTCTAATTTGATAGGCAGAAACACAACTTAGCTTTCCTCTATTTCAATTTTAAAATCCATATCAATGATTCACAAATTGAATGACCTAACTTCCTGAGTCATACTTTCCAAAATTCTTATGCTATATGAGTATATTAAAATACTAGATCATCATCTGTATTTGTTAAACAGAGCATGGTGTTGGTTAAATAGGGTTAATTCTACAAGGCTTTCAAACCACCATAAACTTAAAATCCCTGCCAACTAATCCTACCTGCAACACTCTGCATTCTCCAACAACCTAATCTCTTCATATATTCATCCCCAAAATGAGATGTTATTTCTAGAAAAAATGTTATTTTAAACACTAAGAACTTATCCATACCTTCCTCTTCATCTCCCCGTCTTATTCCTGTATCCACATTCTCTCCCCACTGTGGCAACATTTTAAAAAAAATTCTTCTGTTATCTTTACATACCTCCTTTAGTCAATCTACAGTTTTTCTGTTTATGACAGAAATGCTGAGTCATTAAATAAAAACTCGCAAGAAAAAGTGCTACAAAAAGTTTAAAAGTTTAGAATACAATATTCCCCTAGGCAAGTCTCAGCAGTTTGATATTTGCATTTCCCACCGTGGGAAAAATAAGGGCAAACACTTGAACTTCTTTTCTCCCCAAGAAAGAAAAAGAAGTAGGCTTTTCTTCGATCCTCCGTGGGAATCCAGGCCCGACTGAAGCTATACAACTCTACAATGTAGGTGTAAACGATGGCCCATATTAGTCAAGCATTACCCCTGTACCTCCTAACAAGCAAGCACCTTTCAAGCTGCGCTTCAGTACGGGTAAAGGAGGAAGGAGAGAAAACCCCATAAAAATGCTACGCCCTCCACCGGCCCGAAGCCGTTCCCTGGGGCGCTCCTACCCGGACAGCAACGGAGGGAGCGTGGCGTCAGGAACAGAGGGCGCCTCGGGCACCCGACACAGGGACAGCGGCCCGCTGTAATTTCTCCCACAAGGGGAGTAACGCTTTCCCCCGCGCGGAGGGGAGGCGCGCCTCGGAAGATGCCCGCTAACGGCGCACCCGGAGCGACCCGCAGGGGGCGGCCAGTCCCCGGGAGGCCCGGGCCCCCAGGCGGAGTCGGCGGCAGCTGGGTCTCTCCGGGCTGCGAGGCCGGGAAGGGGCTCCGGCGCCCCGCTCCCACCCAGCCGGCGGGAGGAGCGGCCGTTACCTGTCTCGGGGCGGACTGTGGCGCCGCCCGGGAAGGGCCGGAGCGCGGCTGGCCCGCTGAGCTCTCGCCGGAGAGAGGCGAAGGGCGAGCGGCGCTGTGGCCGGCCTCGGCCCGAGTTCCCCAGCCAGGCGGGCCGAAAGGATGTGGTGGCTCCCAGCGTCGGCGACGAGCCAGCCAGTCACGCCGGTGAGTCCCGAGCGCCAAGGCCGGGACAGCGGGAACCAGACCCCTGGATAAGCCGCAGCCCGAGCTGCGGGCGGAGGCGGTGAAGAAGGGGCGGGGCCACGGGGTCGGTGACCCTCTCACCCGGAAGCACTTGTGACCCGGGCGGCTGGGCGAGAGCTTGGCCGGGCGAGGTGTCCGAGGCGAGATGCCCTGGGCAGCTACGTGCCTGCGTCCCTGTTGCGCCACTACGAGCCGCTGGGGTCGCGCGGGAGAGAAGAAGACAAGGCGCTGGAGGGCTGCCGCCGGTGGGGCGGGCCCCAAGCGCCGATGGGGCGGAGGCACAGGGTGGTTCGGGAAGGCGGATCCCCAAGACCCACCAGCCGGCCTATCCCCTCCCCCGGTCCCGCAGTGAGCATCCGCACCTGAGCCAGTTCGCTGCTGCACCTGTCCTGGCCCTCTAAACCATCAGCATAGGTGGGCTTGGGTACGTGGGCTTCAGCGGCGCTCTGACTAGGACGAGAGTGTGTGAGAGTGGGCGTGGCTCATCGCTACAATCCGTTTCCAAAATGAATGTGCAGGTTCTTAAAACGAGTTCCTGAGAATAATACTTGGTGGGGTGGGGCTAAAGGAGGAGTTTCCAGTCTGTTAAAAATTTGACAGGTGGGCGTGCCCCTAGCTACAGCTACTGAGGAGGCTGAGACAAGAGGATCACTTGAGCGCAGGAGTTCCAGATCAGCCTATGCAACATATGAGACCCTATCTTTAAAAAAAAAAAATTTAAAAAAAATCTGATAGATGCGGACTGGTCATTCATTCCAGAAGTATCTGGCTAAGCCCACCAGATTCAAGGCACCAGGAGGGACCAGATCCTCCTCCTCTGAAGCTTGCCTTCTAGTAGAGGCCATAGATTTAAACAAAAGAAGACTCTAGTAAGGCTCTTCAGGAAACACGAGATTTTGTGGGCATGGCCTCTGTTTAGATAAGATGACTAGAGAAGACTTCTGGGAGGAAGTGATGGTTGAGCAGCCTCCTGATGAAAAAAGAAGTGAAACGCTCTTAGACACAACTTCATATACAGGGATTATAGGTTCCAGAACCCCCTGAATAAGCTTACTGTCAGGTAAAAGGGCCAAAAACCAAGACCAGACCAGGCCACAACAAGCCTTTATTAGGGGAATAGATCTGCCGGGCTGTCTCTGAACAAAGGAGAGACAAAAGCAATATGGCCGGGGCAGGGAGAGTCTTTTATAGAGACTGGAGTGGGGTTTGTAGGGGCTGAGGTGGGGCTGAGTGAGGTAGTGACTAGGGAATGGAGGCGCAGGTGATGTCAATAGGTGGTAGGAGGTGAGGGAAGTATTAGGTTACTTTCTAGGCAGGAACAAGGACATGCTGGGAAGAAGGGTTTATTCTTTGGTGGTAACAACCATCTTGACATGATGTCACACAGGGGAGGGGGCAAGGCATGATAGGAAGAGGGCAGCTACTATACATAATAGCTGCTGAGGTAGTGGGAGACCTATCACTTACAAATTCCATGTTAAGATCTTATCTCTAAAGCTTTCCAAGGGCTATTTCAGTGCCTTGAGAGTATTTAACTTTTCACTGTTTCTCTGTCACTGTTTTTTTTTGAACCCAGGAGTACACATTACAACTGATTTTTACTTGGGCTCCAGAAGGTCTTGATCTTCCTAACATTTTGCACTATGTCATGATATTGTAGGGGCAGGGGCCCCTGTAGGTAGGGAAAGACAGGATGAAGGCCTCATTGACCTTTATTAAGATCAATGAGAAAACTTACTAAAAGCAGTTTCTGCCCTCACAGGTAGACTCTGCAGTTAGGGTAATTAGAAAGACAAAGGAGGGAAAAGTTAGCTAAACTTTGGAGAGGCACCAAGCTGCACAATTACCAGGAAAGCCAGCTCCCCTCACCCACCTGACAAAATGCAAGAGTGATAAGAGACAGCCTCCTAAGGACTCTTATTTAATATGCAAGATATGCATGCACACACACACATACCTAGACATGTACACATGTATGTATGTTATCTGTTTAACATCAGTATAATATTGCACCAGACACCCACATGTACACATGTCCTCTTTACTTAATCATTAAGTATGCTGCCTTCCTAATAGGCCCTCCCCATTCACATATTCATTAGAAAGGGATAGAAAGAAACTGAATGGCCAGAAGGCCTAGGTTAGGATCAAAGACAGCCAAGGGAACAGATCAGACAGGGACAAGCGCCCACCTGGGGGGATTCGAGAGACACTAGTCCCCAGTAAAAGGAGCCAGGGATCAGAGCTCTGAGGGCTAGTTCTGATGGCCCCTACCACCTCCCAGTAGCTGTCTATCCTCTTTCTTTTCCATCTTTTTTCCCCAAATAAACTGTCTTTTATTATACTAAACTTTGCCTTTTTTTAGTTTTTTACTGGTGTTGAGTTTAGGATCACTGGAACTGCATTTTCAGCAGAGCAGTGGCATGGTGCAGTGGCACAGTGTGACATGATGTGGTCAGCTGTCCTGGACATAACAATACAAATAAAAGGATTAATTTTATCCTTTGCTAAATCAATTGACAAAAAGCCCTGTTTCAAGGGAAAGGATCTATTCAGATAGTAATATGGTTTATGAGTAATACTAATAAAACTATTGTTTATTAAACATTAACTTCAAAGTTAATGGAAAGATTGGATATTAGCTTTATAGTCTCTTGCCCCTTTCATCTTCCCTCCCCCAGTGAATTATTTTGGCTTATATCAAACTTCAAAAGTATTTTTCAGCTGGGGATTTAGCTCAGTGGTTCCACCACCTGCCCCGAAATCACAAGGTCCGGAGTTCGATCCCCAGTACCAAAAAAAAAAAAAAAAGTATTTTTGGTGTTGTAGATTGCGTCTAGATGTCCCCCTAAAGCCTCATGCAGTCATAGATGGGGCTTTTTCAGAGGTGGCTAAATCTAGAGTGTGTGATTGATTCATGGTGCAATGCTAGGATGAAGGGTGCTAGGATTAAGGGTGGATGATTACTAAATCAGTCCACTGATTGGTTTGGCACCACCCTAATTCCCAGTAGCCTGGATACAATATAAGGGACAGAAAGAGGCTTGTCTTTTCCCTTGCTTGCTTCTGCTGTCTTTTACCTGCAATGAACTGTTTCTCCTCTTCGATGCCCCTCCTGCCATGTGCCTCTCTGCCTGGGAGCCAGCCAACTATGGACTGAAATCTCTATGAACTGCAAGCCAAATAAACTTCTCCTTTAACTTTGGGTGTCAAATATTTTGTTTCAACAATGAAAAAAGTAACTAAGATGGTGTCTTTTTGGAAAAACTGAAGGAACTAATCTTTAATGAGTACCTACCATTTGAAGAGCATTGTGCTTGGCACCTCTCTTACAGTACTAGGACTAGCCTTGAGATATGGGCATTATTAGACCCATTGTAGTAACAAAGGCATTGAGGTTCCAAAAGATTGTGACTTGCCTAAGGTAACAAAAAGCTAGAAAAGCCTAATTTTGAACTCTGGTCTTTGTGGCCCTACTTTCCTTTTTCTTCAAACCATGGTGCTTTAATTTTTTTTTTTTTTTTTTTTTTTT